CAAATACTGTATGTTTCATAATGTTAGATGCACAACTACCAATATATATATAAAAAAAAAGAAAAGGTGCAGGTTTTACGATGTAAGTACTACTACTACTGTGAAAATAGCCTGCTGTCTGTGATTTGGGAAAGAACTTGACATATAAAAACTACATAGCCTGTTATATGCATTTTTATGCGTCTTCTATGCCATCGTGTTTAAGGGTTAACTAATATATAACATGGGAGTCCGATGTTGATGTGCTGTTGTCAGGACCTAAAAACCACAAGCATGGATGTAGCGCATGGATGAAAGTCTCCTTAACTTCCCCTTTCATGCTATTGCTTTAAGACCCTCCTTTTAACACCCAATCACCAGGAAATGTTTCAGAAACAAGCAGAAACAGAAAAAACTACTGACATTCAACCCTGAGCGGTTGTTTAGCTATTAGCACCGTCAGGCTAATGGAGCTGCAAAACTACAGCAGAGCTTGATTTTCAAAATAACCCTCTAACTGAAATATATGGTTGATATATTTTAATTCCATAAATATTCAGCACAGTTTAAAGAATATTGATAACATATGTTAATATAAAACTAAATATATTGTATTAACTTCAATTAGTGAGCGTTTGAAATCGTTTATAATATTTTGTTGCTTTTATTTTGAAGGCACATCACGCAGGTTCCGGTGCTTTCAGAGGTTTTCAGTTTAGTTGACGCAACTCATTAACAGCTACGTGGTTGCTAGACTACTCAATCTGTGCAGATGTGAAAACAGTGCCGTCTGCTCGGAAACAAACAAACAAACTAACTAACTAGCTAACAAAGCAGCTTTTTAACGGATTTTAAGGAAGCTATGGTTAACAGTCTCTGTTCCCGCATCACCGGCTTACTATTCGGGAAATGTGTATTGTTTTGTACGAAGGTTTCTTAATGTAGCTGATCTAACGTATCTTTTGTTACCCACGTTTTTGCTGCTACTACTACTAGCAAGAGGAGAAACCTGAAGTGAGCCGTTTGGGCTGGGAAACATGAGAGGATTACATGCGGGAAAAGTCCAGTTTTCCAAGTCAACGTAACGTTTGTTTTTACAGCTATGTCGAGTGTAAGTGCTAAGATGTCTGTGGAGGCGAGTGAAGAAGATTGTGAAGAGCTGGTGAGTCTTTAGCTTTGGTCATTTGAAGAATACTACTGACTTTGTTCTTGAGTTTTTAAATGTGTCTCATTTTTATTTGAAGCCCGTACTTGTGACGTTTATCACGGTTGTGTCTGTTTCGAGTCTGTAACTTAAAATACTGTAGCACACAACACAGCAGCTAATAGCGGTTTTCAACCTGTTCGGGTTGTGAGTGGATCGAAAATCCTTCTTGTAACATTATGTTTGTTCGTGGTCTGATTTAAATAAATTAAACACAGGTTTAACCTTCCAAAAACAAACCTGCAACTTTGTTTTTCCCTGACTGAAGCATACTTCTTCTTCACTCTGTCCAACCTAGGATGGCTTCTCGTTCTCTGCCGATTTTTTGGAAAAGGTAAACAAATCAGCTGTTATTGAATGGTCTAGTGTCATAATACCTATTGTAGTTAATCTTCTACATTTTTTCTGCTTCATACATATGTCCTGCTGCACAGCATTAGTTTGATTAACACATCTTTGGCCTGGATTAATGGCTTGTTTTTGTCCTCTATCAGAAAACAAGTAGAAAAAACTCTTCTCGGAAGCCTCCCCCTTCTCCAAGTAAGAACTGCTCAGCTGCTCTGTGGGGAATATTTGAAAACACTGTAACCAAACTTGGTTTCCTAATTCCATGATTTGTTCATGTAGGGTCTCCATACCTGACCAGTCTGAATGTGAACCCTAGAAGAACAGCAGTGGCGGCCTGGAGACTTCCACGGGCCTCCCTTGGGGATGCCAGAGGGGACACGCCTGGGGAGGGTGGCTCAGTTCGGCTCACATCCCTCAGCAATGGCCATGGTAGGTACCATACAAACACAAGGGAAGCTCCACACGCAGTTTCTCCTCAGGAGAGATGGCTGTAAGTAAGGGTGGCTCCTGAGCTCAGATGGAAAGAGATATAAATAGAGGAAGAAGTGCTTGATACAGAACAACATAAACATTCATTTGCAATTGTAGTTTTGTTCACCTGAGGAATAGAAGTCCAATTTCTAGTCTTCTTTTAGCTCTCATTTGGTCTCTACTCACTACTGCACCAAATATCTGGGTCTTTAGCTTTCTAGGTACTCTTTTGTGTTTTACCAGCTAGTTGCTGTCATTGTCTGTCAGCTATTTTGTGTAGGATACAATGTGTTTGTCAGTTTTGTTCCCTGAAAACAGATGCCTGCTGCTGGAAATGAGTCATTAAGAGCAAAATTTGCAGTCTGCACAACTAAGAAGAAGCTAAAACTGACTAAAAATCTTGTTATAAAGAAAAAAAAATTGCTAAATCTTCAGAAAACACAAAAACTACAACATATTCTCAAAAGGTATGCAGTGCATGGGTCAGAAGAAGCATTGTTTTGTGTTGGGTAATATCTCATTTCACTTCAGTTCAGTACAGCTCTTTTTATCCCATCAAGAGCACTTGCATGTAGCACCTCACTGTCAAGGTCAACAAATACACACACTATAGACAGGAGTACAAAAAAGTGTAAATCACCCAGCTGAAAACATTCAAGGGCTACACATATCTTTAAAAAAGTTGTCTAAAATCACACACTGTAATGACGTCGTACAGAAGCATAAAAAAATCTTGATGTTCAGAACTTCTTCCTATCTTTCTCTTTTCCAGATGTGTCCCAGATGCTAAGATCAGAGTGTGACATCACACCTGAGCTCCTCAAACAGACCTTGAGTGTGAGGAAATACAAACATCTCTACTCTGCATCCAATGGTGAGAGGTTTACTGTAGGTGTGTCAGAAGGAGAAATGAAATGAGGAGCAGTAGAGACAGGTGAAGCTGAAGGTCAGGGTCTGTGCTAAACAGAACAGTTTGCTAGGCATCAGAGACAGTAGCAGACACAGATGTCAACACCATCAGTTGTGTCATAACTGCAAGGTGAGAATGTAGTTGATATGCCTTTGTATTGTTGCAGGCTTCACCTTCAGCTCAGGTGACTACAGAGAGAAGGAGGACATGTATGATGAGCTTATTCACCTTAAAAAGGTAAAAAGTAAAAAGCAACATTTTTCACCACATGGTTACAGTATTTGATATTTTTAATTGATTCAGATTTGCGTGTGTTATTCTCACATATCATTTGTACATTGTGTGTTTTTTTATGCCTTCCTTGATGTTTTATTACTCACTAGTGCTGCTCTCTGCAGAATCTCCAGGCACAGAAAGCTGATAACCAGCAAATGAAAGCAAAACTACGTCGCCTGGAGGAAGATAATGCTAAAAGACAGAAACAAATAGGAGAACTGTTGGATCCGACTAAAGTATGATGTTAAATTGCTCTAATCTTAAACTTAGAAACTTAGAAACAGATACATTTTAAAAACTCTGTGTTTTTGTTCCTGTAGGGATCTGAATATACTCGCAGTTTGGTGGATAAGAAAAAAGAGGGGAGTGTGGTGAGTATGTCTACTCCGTTGTTGACAGTAGCAGAGGTGTTTTTTTTTCGGATGCATCCTAAACAGGCTTCTGAAACAGTTTCTGTCCTTCAAGGTTCTCATTGGTCTGAAACAAAGAATCCTGAAGCTAGAACAGCAGTGTAGAGAGAAAGAAAATGCCCTGAGGTAAAGTGTCTGCACACCTACACAGTAGTCCATGTACTGTATGAGGCAGTGTAATATTCAGTTTATTCCCTCATATTTTTCAGTAAACTGCAAAGTGAGCTGAGGACCACCAATTTGGAGGAGATGAAGATCACAGTAGAAACCTACTTTGAAGAGGTGACATTAATGCCTGTAGATGCAAACTTTCTTTTTTTTGCCTCAAGATGAAAGCACAGATCTTTTTGCTTGTTACTGCATACAGATTTTCCAAAGCAGAACACCTAACCCACAAAGTAATGAGACAAAGAGGCTGATACTTAAAATAGTGCTTGGTTGAAAGAATTGTTCTGTGAATACTCTGTGTTTCTGTTGCTGTGAAAGTTGGTGGTACCATCACGTATACTTTGGTCGCAGAGTGTGAGTTCAGCTTGCCTTACATGGAATGTGTGTGTTTGTCTGTGCTTCAGATCCAGAGACTGAGAATGCTTCTGGAAGCTGCAGAGAAAAGGTATGCATGAGTTAAAACACCAGGTTCCACCACAAAGAGATATAAAACATCTACAATAAGATGTGAAATGTCCAAAACAGCCACAGAGACACAAAATTACCACAAGGAGATGTTAAATGACCACAACAAGATGCAAAATGTGCTCAAACAGATGTAAAGCCATGCAAAACAACCACAAAGAGATACAAACAGATGTAAAAAAAAAACAAAAAAAACAGACAAAACAGCTGTAAAACCAGTTCAGAGGGGCAACATGTAATTACAGTCACACAAACTATATGACTGCATGGTCTGTAGTTGGTTTATGTCTTTTTTCAGTACTCGGGTACAGAAGATCAAATCAGTCACTTTTATCTACATTCAGGTAGGTAGAGAGGGACTAGCAGTCATTTTCAGAGTGGTAAAAACTGATTGTCATCCTGGATGGAAAGGATGGCCTCTGTCACAGGTCAGTCAAAGGCCAGGGTTTCAGGATTTGTGCTGAATGCTTATCGTCATACTGCCTACTTGCATTCATTATCTCGTGTGATATTACCCTCACTGTCTTTCATGTTTATCGTCATATTGCCTACTTGCATTCATTATCTCATGTGATATTACCCTCACTGTCTTTCATGACGTTCTCCTTTCCCGCTGTCACCTTCTGTCTGCAGTAGTCGAGCAGAAAGTAAATGCTCCCAGAGGCAGCAGAGAGCTTTAAGCTCCAC